GAGTAGAATTGGATACCATACCTATGGTGAGGTTTACAACACAAACTGCTGACTAAATCTTTCAGTTATGGAGTGCATGTGTTATTATGTGTAATTATGAATTAAAAACAATGGTGGTAATTTGGAAATTGTTCATTTGTTGAATTTTTATTTTGTTATATTTTTTATTATTAATCGTAGCAAATTTATCAATAACTTCTTTTTAAAATTGAAATAGTTTATCTATTTTCTCTTCTATTTAAAATTTTTTATCCTGAATTTATAATTTCTAGTAAACATATTCAATAATATAAATAAAAATTGCCAGAACTTACAAATAAAATATATGATTTTATGATAACAAAAATTAATAAGATTACAAATAATTTAGGATAAAGAACAATAGAAATTTACAAAAAAATCAGTTCAAATACTTCAAAAAAATCTTCAACTAAATTGTGTTAAGAATCTTCAAATAAAGTGAAATTGTGATGAATGGTACAACACGATACGATTCGTTTACAGCTGAGGATCCATTTCTGATACAATTAATTAGTACTAGTAACTTACCAGAGACCAATTAAAATCGTGTTGTCTGTTGTGTAAGATATGTTTACCTTTAAAATTACACGAGTACCACTATGGTCGGCTAATCATTCATATTACGTGTATTATGACTATTAGTTGTTAGAGAAGAAGATGTGTTGTCACAAAACAATAATTAAAATAGTTATGCATGGACACAGAATAAAAAATATAAGAATCAGATATTCATTGGATGTACTGATATAATGAAATGAATGTTGGATATGAAAAAAAATGCACCCTAACCTCTATTGATATAAATTGGTAGACGTTTTTAACCTGCCATCTTTGTAATGAAATTTCTTGTACAAACTGCAAGGCATTGCACTTTCAATTGTTTGATATATATTATAAAAAAAAAACAAAAAAAGGCCAAAATTTCGATATGCCTAAGTCGCATCAGAAGTAAAAAAGAAATGGTGTTTTCTCTTTCCCGTCACAAATAAGAAACTAAAAAATCTCCAAAATTAAATATACACAACACTTCTCCTCAAGTGTCATCTTTTGTAAAATTACTCTTAACCCCTTCTTTTTCTCTAAACGACAAATATTACTTTTTCTCTAAAAAACAAATACATTCCGTAGAATTTTAATAGGATGAATAAATTAAAATTTAAAAATTCCTTAATATAAATTTTAAAACAATAAATATTTGATTTATGCAGAGTATAGATAATACTGTATTTATATAGTTTTATGAATTTTTACTTTGTAAATTTAAATTTATGGAACACGGGAACAAATAATTTTCTATTTATGATTATTTTTTTTTTGCTCTCTCCATCCAATTTTGGTGAGTTTTTAGTTTTGATTTGTAAGAGAAAGACAAAGCATCAGAATTACCCAAATTAGATTCAGAAAGTTTTGGCGTTTTCTCTTTGGCGTTGCCTATCATCTCTTACTCACCATGGAATAAGAAAATTTATATGCACCTCTTATAGTAACCTGTGATATAATTTGAGGGTCGTATTAGAAACTTGCTCTTTCTTAATCTAAGAGTATCTCCAATGATTGTCTATAATTATTATTATTATTATTATTTTGTATAAATGCGGTTGTAGTAGATTTATACAAAAATAAAAAATTAAAAAAATAGATTATATATTTCTAACTCCAGTCATTGTTTTTATATTTTCACCAACTTTGCCAACTCAGCAATCTGTGCTTTACGGTCTATGATCGATCGTAGCTTGTTATGGCTGTGCCCCACACACACACACACACACACACATCAATCTCCGCTCGATCTTTCGCTTTGAAAACTTCTATTTTCTAAGGATTAAGCCTCCGCTTGACCATAGGCTTTCTGTTATTGGTTCAATGATCAATTGTAGATTGATCGTGGGCCTTGATTGCTTCTGGGCTTGAGTTGTGCTTGGGTATTTAGGCCCGAAATCCATGGAATCAATTAATTTTGAGGATAAATGATTGAAATAACGAAAAAAAAACAAAGAAATAACATAAATGCATACAATAAGTATGCTTAGAGATCTAACATGTGCAATTAAAAGGGCTTGAATGTGCACCATTCTGCACTTATCATCCATCCAAATAAAATTATCAGTTCCTCTTCACATTCAAGATGTGTAACATGTTGGCTAAGGTCCAACTTTGAAGTTGAACCATGTTTATATTCTGATTGTGATCCCAATCCAGAGTCATTAATTATAGTTGGTATTGGAATTATGCTTCTTCCTTATCCCTGCAGCTGTAATAGTAAGACATGATATGACATTCTGGTAGCGACGAACATACCTGTCAACGGATCAGATACAGATCGAATCGGATTTTTCTATAAGTGGCAGAGCCACGTTGGGAACAGTTGGGGCAATTTCCCCCGCTTGAATTTTCTTTTTTTGTATTTCTTATTCATAAGTTTTGATAATTTGTAAAGTGCCCACTAATTTTTTAAAATATTCATAAAAGACCTTAATAAAAACTTGCAAAAGTTAAAAAGATCTCTTATTTTTTATTTTTTATTTTTAACTCATTTGCCTAACAAGATTTTCAAAATTCAGTAGAGACCCATGTTCAAGAATCAAAATTCAAAATTCATAAAAGACTCTTTTGCTATTAAATTTTCTACTATTTGTATTTTTTATACACAAAATTTAATAATTATAAGAGTGTCCCAATTGAACTCTTAAAAATTTCACAAAATACCGCAAGAAAAGCTTCCAATATTCAAAATTGCCCCTTATATTCTAGCTAATTTGCACAACAAAATTTTGAAATTTCAGAGAACACCAACAAAATTTTTATAAATCAAAATTCAGAAAAAACCTTTCGTTTGCTATATATTATTTTTGTTTGAATTTCTTATCATATTAATAGTTGCCCCCGAGTTAAATTATTGGCTCAACCACCTCTATTTAATATTATAGACACAAATTTTGTAGTCTGCAAATAAGATAACAAAATAGGGGCAAAAAGAATATTTTATTAAATTAGAAATATTGGAGTACAATCCTCTGTAATAATATTCCAAGGAATAAGGTCCTCTGATTCGATCTCCTTTTTAGCTGGTTGGATTTAAGGGCTGCACGAGCTTGATCTTGTATCACCGTGGAATTTGGATAAAGAACGACATGTCTTTGAATGTGCTTGTTGTTGATCACCGTGGAATTTGATGAAGAACGACACAATTTGATGTGCTCGGTTTTTTTCGTTTTTGGGTTTGGATGTTGGGGATGAGAGTTTCTGTATGTCTTTCTGGAATTCTAGATTTTTGAATTCCAGAATTTGTGTTTCTGGATTTCTGAATCCTCTGGATTTTTGAATCTCTAGACCTTCTAGATTTCTGAATTTATCTCCCCTCTGGATTTCTGAATCTCTGGATTTCTGGACTCTGAATTTGTGTCTCTTCTTTCTTCCTCCAGGCCTCTATTTTATAGGCTTCTTGGATTGATAAGATGATGGCATGTGTCATCTCTTGATAAGGATAAAATTATAACTGGGCCGAGCCGGTTATATTATGATAATTATCCTTAAAATAATTATTTCAAATATATTTTATTAGGAATAATTATCTGTTTATTTAACCATCTAGGCTAGGCTAATTAAATAATTTAAGTGAACCAAACTTAATTAAACATTAGGCCCATATTTAATGGGTCCATTTGTCAAAACCAAAGCCCACTAAAATTTTAGTGTTTACAAATATATTTTTAATAATATTCGTAAATGAATAAATAAATTTGACATTATTCATTTAGCATATCAAGAGACCATTCTGAGTATAAATGAGCCATTTCTATATCAAATAAATTCAGTAAATGAATGTCTTGCAAAATACAGATGTCTCGATGATTCAATAGATTAGAGCATCTCCAATCCAATGCTAAAACGTCTGTTATTTCTAAAATATAGCAGGGGGACTTCAAAAGGGGTTTTCCAATGCAATGTTAAAATGGTTGTCAATTTTTAACTTTGTCAAAAGTTTTGCCAATTGTAGCATAAGAAATAGTTACTGCTATTTCACAGAGAGAGAGACTCGGGGGGGGGGGGGGGGGGGGGATTTGGCACACATATATATATATATATATTGTGTATATATATATATTTTTTAAAAAGATCATAAAAAATTTCACCAATACTAGAGAGAAGAGTGCAGAAATGGTGTTGGAGAGAAATAAAGATTAATCTCGCTGGAATCCATGGACGCCACGGTTGCCAATAAGGATGTCTGTGAAGCAGTGAACTGCTAGAGAGAGAGAGGAGTGTAAAGATGGCATTGGAGAGAAATATAAAAAATTTCGCCGGAATCGAAATCCATGGTCGTTGATTATTTTTATTTAGAGATTGCCTTTGTTCTGGCAAAGGCATTGAAAAATGATGCGAAGAGATGGAGAAAAGGTGGAGAGGATAAATTTGGAGTTGTTTGTTTGTGATAAGGTGATGAGTTGTCAACTTCTTATTGGTTATTGAGATTTCATTTGACACCATCAGAAACAGAAGTCCATAAATCATTTTGTTTTATTTATTTATTTTTTTGTCCTTTTTTGATCAGATTATTTTAAATTTTTACTTTTTTTTAATTAGGTTTAATTTTAGTTTCATTCTAATGTCTACAACTTGACTTGGAACGTGCCTAATATTAATATTACTGATGCAAATATGAATGGTGAGAATAATAGTTGAAAAATAATAGTGGTTGTGCCAAAAAATAGTATTTTGCATAAAATGTATTATTGAAGCAAAATTGCTAAAATGTAGCATTTTTGTACTGTAGTACTGTCAAAATATAGATTTGGCATCCGAAGTTAGCAATTCTGCATTGGAGATGCTCTTAGTACCAAATTTTGACTCTTTATATTTACTAATGAAACTTCTAAAACTTCGTTACCTTTCTTTAAATATATATACATTTTTTTTTTCCTCAGTAAATAAGTGATAAAGAAAAATATACATAGTCATGGGGTATTTTATATCCCAAACCCAAAAGGAAATTGGGCTACAATGAAAAGAAAATTTTCAACAAAATAAAGGCCCATTGAACGAGTTGGAGAGATCAACAAACATCGCCCCTTCTTGTTCGTAGCTGTGAAATCATCAAACTGAGAAGAACAAATCCGTATCAGATTCATCATAGAATGAGTTCAGGAGGTTCCATTCAGCAGCTATTGATGGAGCAAGAGAGTTAGACGAACAGAGAAGAGGCGAACTCGAACTGCTTCAATAATCAATCGCAATGTACACGGAGCTAGCCAGTGTAAGTATTCTGATTTTCCTCAATTTTGGTTTCCAATTAGATGACGCCCAAATAAGAAAGTCGTTCCACCTGTTAGGGTTTGTGTTGAACCCACGTTTGGCGAAATAGATGATTCCATATCATGGTAGAGTAGAGGGACATTGGTGAAATAGATGGTTATGGACCTATGGTTGACTTGGGTGGATAATTTGCCCTGAATAGCTAGCTTTAAACAAAAGGAATTTTTAGGTATAGAGTGGCTAAACCAAACCAGACCAAATTGTGCCAGTGGACATTGCCACATTGGGGTCATTTGGTGAGATGGATTTGAGGGAAGCCATTGGAAGAGGTCATTGGTGTTCAAGATTGGGGAGAGGGAGATTAGCTAGGTCATATACTGTTGAAAACATATTCTGGGCCCACTGCTCATTAGAAACCAGAGATGCTACCTTCATGTGTTTGTTGATATGCCAACCAAGCCTAGAGTTAGAATTCAAAGCATACCCCCGTGGCCCGGGCCTAAGGGATATGCATGTGTTTGTTAGGCATCTAGACGGAACCACTCTTGGTGATGCTTTTGTAAGAACTCAATACCTTATAGAAGGGGCCACATGGTACCAATTGTCAAAAAACACCATAGTGGATGCTCCATTGTTAATTTTGCGTTGAACCATAGGCTGAGCTACTTGTCCGTTTTGCAGCAGTTTTCTCCAGAACCATGTACAGCAACTTGGAATCTTCAGTTCCCATAAACTCTTCTGCTTGATTAGATGCATAGCAGTCCATTGCTTCCATAAACTGTTATTTGTGGGAGACCATAGAGTGCAGATGTGTCTCAGAATAGATGTTTTGTTTCACAATTGTAGGTCAGGAACTCCAATACCTCCGTCTTCTTTTGGTCTGCACACCACATCCCATATGACCTTGGATCTAAACCAAGGCATAGATGGCCCTGCCCATAAGAATCTTTGCATGATTTGGTTCATCTGAGTCATTACTTTAGCTGGTAGGATGATTAAATTAGTCCAGGGGATGTGCATACTACAAATTGTAGCTTTGATGAGTTGCAGCCTTCCAACATAGGATAGGTATCTTGCGGTCCAACTTGTGATTCTAGCCAAGATACTATCTATCAGAGTTTGTGGCAGTCTGCAGCTGTGAGTCTAGTGGGGATCGAGGGAATTCCAACGTAATCTAATGGGAATAGAGCCAACTGGAAACTGAAAGAGGTTAGTGATGGCCGGTCTGGTGTACTCTGGGACTACATAAAAAGAAAAGGTGACTCTTACTGAGGTTAGGCTGCATTCCTGAAAGGTTAGAGAAGGTATCAAGAGCCTTCTTTAAGGTACCTGCAGAGTTCATTCGTATCACCATTACAAAACATTAGTGTGTCATCTGCAAAGGACAGATGAGATAAATTGAGCATCTTGCATCTCCAATGGTAGGTGAACTGAGTGTCTTGGGTGGCTTTCTGTTGAAACAAGAACTAATAGTTAAAAAAGTTACCAATTCATATGCAGTATTGGCAACATCACTTTCCAAGGAGAGTTGTTGATGGAGAGAAATTACAATTTGCCAAGTATGGGTCAAATGGGGAACGGATGTAAGTCTCAAATATATACTTCGTGGCACATTTTCATGGATTCCAGAGTATAGTATTGATTGTGACTGCATTTTTCCGTTCCTTTTTGTTCTGGGCAATATCATTGTAATTTCAATTGCATACTTGGATTTCAGTTTGCTAGGGACTTCCATCTGTTTGTTGCTATTTATTCTATAGCTACTGATTTGTTCTATGAAATTTTCTTTTTCTAGATGCTGTCTTATTTATTTATTTATTTAATTAATTTTTTATCAATCATTTCTTTTTTCAAGTGGCTTTCTATTTCTTAATTCGTACATGCATCTACCTTTAACCATAGCATGTCCAATTTGTTTGTTTATGATTATTTGTTAATTGTCCTTAGTTCCTTACCCAGTCTTTGATTTCAGCCATACAGGAAGAATAATTGAAATTTTTCCAAGAACTAGAGGCAGGTCAAAGAAGCCACAATCCCCAACAAAGGTAGTGATATTTTCCCTCATTGAGATTCAAATAATTGTATTTGTATTATAGCACCAATAAAAAAAATAAAAAAGTAATATAACAGTATTAAACCATATGTTTCTTTTGTGGTGGTCGAATGTTAATTGGTATATTCCACTTTGTGGCCCTATTTTTATAATGCTGTCTATATATGTTGAAATTGTCTTTATTTTAGATATTTGTTGTTTTTTTATTTTATTTATTTTATGGTTTTATATGATTTTTAGTCACATGCATTGCATGCGTGACTTTTACTAGATATTTAAATTATATATGCTGTTATAAATGACATACAAATGCACACAAAAGAGCTTACCAGGTAAACTAACACATGCATGGCAAATAGATATTTAAATTTTATGTTAGTTTTAATGATATTTTTTCGCCTATTATTCTATTCAATCGCAGTTAATATTTTATACTTACATTGCACATTTATGATTGCTAATTTGCTAGGAATAATTGAGAAAGTCGAATATGAATAATCCATATACTTAGCCATCTCATTAGGAGCATAATTTTATATAAGTAATAGTTTGCCACACTTTGTAGGAATGCTCAATGAAACAGATATAACTATGCCTTGGAGTTCCTTGTATAAGTGTGTCAACAAAGGAAAACCAAAAGTAAGCCAATCTGACTGTAATTACGATGTAAGCCTAATAAATACATCCATACAAGTAATTGAATAAATAGAATTTATATAAGTACACAGACATTGAATTATGTCCTTCATGAAATATTTTGTAGGAATTAATCAAAATTAGTGTCATATTACAAATGCAGCCTCATAAACATGTTAAGGTCACCTTGAATGAAATTACTTAAAGTTCAAGTTTATGCTCTGGATATATTTTCAAGTAAAACTTTTTACAAATTTACAGATTTACCTAATTACGTGCATTTGCACGTGCTTTATATTAGTTAATCTAAAAAGCTTTCTAACCAACTGTGAGCTGCTCATTTGCTAAGAAAAAAATTGTCAAAACAAAAGTTCTCTCTCTCGGTTAAACAATTGTATTTATAAGCGGAAATATTTTGTTTGTTTGTCCGTGTTCTCAGTTTTGTTCATGTGCATTCAAATATGAGCTCTGCTTTGATGAATTGGTCGTTTATTCAATTAGATTTTACTTGATCATTCAATTCTTCAATTAGCTGCGATATGATTTCAGTTTAGGTTTAGCCATTTATTTTTTTATTTTTTTTAAGAATATGCTTTGCTCATGTCTCCTTAGTAATGTAGATCGCAGGCTGTCCACCACTTTAGATTTTTTACTACCTATTGTTTCATTTGAATTTTTGACTCTCTCCTTAGTAAAGTGTCGGACACATATCCCATACACATGTTCGAGCAATATGTGTCCGACACGGGTACTTCACTACTTTTGAAGAGTCCATGTAACATAGAGTATAATAACCTCTGAGAAGCTTTTTGGGCTAGAAGGACAGAGTCAGTAATCTTCCTTTCTTGAACAAAGGCAGTTTGGGTAGGTTCAATGATGAAGGTTAAGGTATCCAGCTCTTTCAGCGAATTGAATTGTTCTTCCTCTTGAAACTTCCAATAGTAGTAGAAATCACAGGTAAACATGTTCTTACTTTTTGGAGGAAAGCAAGAGCTTGGGATTTTGTGTTGATCCTGTGAATCAGTGAATGCTACTGTATATAGTCCAAATGGCTTCCATGTTGAGCAATATTCTGTATAAAAGTACTGAACTTGTTCCATTAGTATATATGTATCCATTTTGTCACATTCCATTATTAATTTTTTAGTACTTTTAGATGCCGAAGAAATTGTGGTTGATGAACAATTTCTATCAATCTTCCTAGAATTTTGGACGATGTGGTTGGCTTTAAGTTTGTAAAGTCAATTAACATTATCCTCCGAAAAAATGGTACAATTAGAGTTTATTATTCGGAACCATAAAATATGTAGTCCCAGTCGCATCCTCCATAGCTTTGCACGAGAAATGCTAGAAATTATTCATCCACTCCATTTTTTTTTTATTTTCATGTTAAACATAGTAATACAAATGACTCTCTTTAGTGTCTCAATGCAGCAAAAATCAACTTTCACCAGAACACTGCTAACAAGGCCCACTCCATTCTCTGTATATTGAATGGTAAGTTTTTAAAGTTTATCTTTGTCCATAATACCGTACATGACCGCTTCATATGATTGTGACATACCATGAATGATAAGAAAACATTATCAAATGGATCATGTTTGGCATATCTGAAATTTTTTTACTATCCAAAAGCTTTGGTAGAAGTTAACATAGCTGAAACCTCAAAGACTAAAATCAAGAACCCTTGATATTTGAATAAGAGTCTGCTTTGCAGAACACTAGAATAAGGCTAGCAAACAAACATGACTCATTTATTAGGACTTCTTTGAACTCGTAAAGAATTTCTTTTCTTTATCAATCTTGTCCCAAGTTCGAGTTTGAGCTTTAATTTGAGAATGAACTTGAAAATGAGAATAAGCTTGAGATTAAACTCCAAATTTGGCTAAAAAAAGCCAAATGAACAGAGCAATGCTTGACAGTCCTTTCAGTAATTAAAAATGGAATAGTCCACAACTATTCTTTAATTCTTGTATTATGAGTGTCATTGTGATGGAATGAGCAGATACTTATGTTAGGTATTTGGTTCTTAATTTATTCAGGTTGATGCAACATGTTAAGGCACGGTTTTATTGATTATTGATTCTGATATTAGCTCAACTTTAGTCAACCAAATGGAAGCAACGGTGCATCAAGTTGATGAATATGTGATTCCATTTGGAGAACTTTGAATATTGTATTAGCTTGGGATCTCTGCTGTGTTGGTCTTATATGTGTGTGTGGATGATATTGGTGGTGTCGACCGTCTTAAGAGCACCCCGTAATCAATCACCGGGCATTTTTTTATTACTCTGTCCCAGATGCAAGGAAAAATTTCCTGGGGTGACCCCAAGTTTGTTGGTCGATTTGGATAACTATGCCTTTGGCCTCCTTGTTGTCTTCCTTGTAAGTGTCAGCTAAGAGGAAAACCAAAAGTAAGCCAATCTGATAGTAATTATGATGTAAGCCTAATAATACATTCATACAAGTAATTGAATAAAAAGAATTTATATAAGTCCAAAGGCATTGAACAATGTCCTTCATAAAATATTTTATAAGAATTAATCAAAATTAGTGTCATATAACAAATCAACCTCATCCACATGTTAAGGTCACCTAGAATGAAATTACTTAAAGTTCAAGTATATACTCTGGATATGTTTTCAAGTAAATTTTTTTACAAATTTACAGAGATATTTAATTATGTGCATTTGCACGTGCCTTTACTAGTTCACTAAAAAGCTTTCTAACCAACTGTGAGCTGCTCATTTGCTAAGAAAAATTTTTCAAAACAAAAGTTTTTAGATTTTAGTTTTTTTTTTTTTTTTTTCGAAAGGTTAAACAATTGTAAGAATTGCTTAAAGCTGGGTTTTTGAAACAGGGGAGATAATTTGTACTAGTGCCATCACCAATGATATGCTTGAGAAGGGGCTTGAGAAGCTGAATCATTCTCCAACTCAAGGACTGAGGAATCTTCATAGACCAAAAGGAGCTGTCACTGAACAGGTGTAATCTGCACCATTGCACCCATATTCTCTGGTTACTCCATGTCTTTAGGTCCCATATGGCCTGAGTATTGCTGCATTTTTTGAAATAGATGGATTGGGAAGGCCAAGATCACCCTCCTTTTTAGGCTTACACACTGCACACCAAGCTATTTTGGCACCTGATCTCTTCTTAGCACTGAGCTCATTTCATTAATCACTTTTTTGGTGGAATAAAAAGTTTTACCAGAATTTTTGTATAGAAACAAGAACCTATTTGATCAACTGTAGCCTGCCAGCATAGGAAACACTTCTTGCAGACCAATGAGTATTTTAGAAGAGATTATTTCAATTAGGCTATGACAATCAGTTGCTTTAAGATTGGATGAGATGAGGGGAACTCCAAGGTGTCTAATGACAGCCTTTATCAATGCCTGGGAAAATTTTGCATGATCACCCTTGGGACTTGCATCAAACAACACAATTTTCGCTTTGGTAAGGTCGTAAACACACCGTGAAGTTACTGCTGATTTGCTGATCAAAGGGCGAAAATGGGTTCAGTTTACTTTTGAACACAAGGCTAGTCATGCTATGCTAATTTGTTGGGCATTCAAATAACATTTTATGTTCAGAAACAATGAAGATGACCAAAATTTGGTGAGATGAATATCTGATGAACAAATAGAAAAAATAGACAATGAATGTATTTATGAGAGCTGAAAATAGCAGAGACTTAAGATATGAATTCTTTAGCCACATACATACAGTGGATGCCATAAATAAATGCCCTAATGAATAATCTAACACCAAGTCGTCAGATGGTCATGACCTATTTGACACTTGGTGAACTAAATCACAGTGATTCGTTCTTCAAGTGTCAAATATTTCCAAATTAAGTTGAGCAATGAAAAAAAAAATGACTTGATAGAGGGGGCTTTGGAAACAAAGGACTTGATGATGCTAGAGAGGACTTCCATGGCTAAGACAAAGAGGAAAGGGCATAGAGGGTCACCTTGTCTCAACCCATTGACACCCTTGAAAAACCCACAAAATTCACCATTAACAACAATGGTAAATGATGTAGAAGCGATGCAGGCTTGTATCCATTCAATGAGCTTGGAAGTGTAGCTAAAAAGCTTAAGGCAATTAAGTATGAAATCCCAACTGATGGAGTCAAAAGATTGATTTATGTCAGCTTCAATGGCACGTCTAAGAGAATTAGAATGAGCATGATAACCTCTGAGAAGCTCTTGGGCTAGAAGGACAGAGTCGGTAATCTTCTTACCTTGAGCAAAGGCAATTTGGGTAGGTTCAATGATGAAGGGTAAGGTAGGTTGGAGTTTAGAGGCAATGAGTTTAGCAATGCATTTGTAAATGACATTGCAACATGAGATTGGCCTATATTCATTAAGAGTGGAAGGGTTTGGTTATTTGGAAACTAAAGAGATGTAAGAAGAATTTCATTCTTTAAGGAGCCTCCCTTTCACAAAAAAACCGAAACCAAAAGAGGAGTCCTATAGACCCAAAGAACCCAAAAAGTCCACAATTTCATCTAAAGATGTACAATTTCTCCCCAACACCTAACTAAAAAGAGAACAAATAATAGAAAACTTTATCGCCCCAATGGAGGATTCCTCCCCATCAAAATATCTTATGTTCCGCTCTTTCCAAATACTCCACCAAACACAAAGGGGGGTCGCCCTCCAAGAGTCACGAGCATGCACCCCCACCCTGTGACCCCTCCAAACGTTAATCAAAACCCTTGAAGTTTGGGGCATAACCCATTGGACGCCAAACAAAACAAACATATGACTCCAACAGTCATGAGCCACAGGGCAATGCAAAAGAAGGTGATCCACAGACTCTCCATCATTCTTACACAACACCAGTTGACTATGATTTGTCTTCTCTTTCTCAAATTGGCCAGAGTCAAAATCTTGCCCCAAGTTGCAATCCAAACAAAAAAAAGCCACCCAAAGAGGAGCCTTCGACTGCCAAACTGTTTTCCACGGGAAATTGGAAGCGTGAAACCCGGAGAGGCAGAAAAAAGAAAAGAAAAGAAAAGAAAAGGAACGGACCTGAAAAGTCCCCTGTGGAGAAGGCACCCAAGTCAAGGAATCCGAACCAATACCATCCACCTCCTGTCTATAGACTCTATGCAAAAGGTCCAGCAAGTCTGTCACGTCGTCCAATTCCCAATCCTGAAAGGATCGCGAGAATTGCACATCCCAAGAGACCTATTGCTATCGAGTCGATAATAGTCGGCTACTGAAACATGTCTATCAACAGTAATCCTGAACAACCTTGGGAACAAACAAGACAATGGGCAATCCTCGCACCAAGTATCCTCCCAAAACCGAACGTCCCTTCCCTCCTGAAGATCCAGTTGTTTCTTTAGAATGGATAATTGGCTTTTTTTAGAAAAAAAGATGAAAAAAGAAATAAAAATCACCGTTGGGAATGAAATTCTTTTCCCTGTCCCCCTTTCTGTAGTCAATGAAATTTTTTCGAAAGAGTTGATATTTTTACCTCCACATGGCATTGCTTCGTCAGGCTTTCGCCCATTGCAGAAAATTCCCCACCGCTGCCTCCCGTAGGGGTCTGGGACTTAAAACTTGGAGATTGCATTGCAAATATGGTTATTTTGTTATGATTTTTTAAAACAATGTTGCTACTTGCTAGTCAAGCTATTCAATCATTCCTAAACATTTTCAAGCCTCAACAATGAATACCATCTAGTCCTAGAGTTCTTTGTGTTCTTACATACGATGCTGCTAAAAATTTTATTTTCACTATTCAACCTAAGTTACCATTTTCCTCTAAACATTAGTTTCTTACATGATTTTTTTTTTTTTTTTCTCCGGGGTAAATTATGCTAACCTCCCTTGAGGTTTAACCAAATAAATGAAACTCTTGTGAAAATAAGTCCAATGCTCCTTGGCAGAGTTTGTCAGAAACACGGTGTAAATTGCCACATGATTGACAATTTTACCCACATCAACCTAATCACATTAGATGAAATCCAATCTGTGCCTCTATCCCTCCACCTCTATCACCACCACCTCTCTCTATTTCTCTCTCTCTCTCTCTAAACTCTTTTCAAGCAACAATCCCTCTTGCACTAGTCCCCCATCTAACACCTTCAATTGTATCAGTTTGAAATGCTAGTCAGCACTCAGATTTCTGAGTATAAAGTGCTCTGTCTGCAAATTTTTGCGACAAATAATTGACACCTCATTGTGGGGGGCGTGGCATTATTCTTGAAGACATCTTTCTCCAGAAGACAATGTATGTTGTACAAAAGACAGCACCGTTGTCTTTGCTGAGCAACATCTCAACGACATGGCATACTTGTGAGCATTGCACTCGCGGGAGTGTTGACATGGGTTTTCTATATAATTTGATCACGATTTTTTGAATTGATTAATTGTTGGTTTTTTTTTTTTTTTCTTTTTTTTCCCGGGGGTATATGTAGAAGCGTATATGTATATATGGGTTGATACGTTGAGTACATACATGTGCATAACAGGTTTATGTGTAGTATGACACAGTGAACTTGCTAATGGCATAAACCAAATTTGCTGGAACCTTAACTTTAAACTCCATTTTATCTCCTCTGTTAAAAGATCTAATTTTGCACATTAAATTTGTAAAAAATATGCAGCCTTGATTAGTCTTTAATTATAATTAGATCTAATTTGAATTATGCTTTTCTGAAAAATTTCTTGGTGATATTAGTGGTGGTAATTGTATGGAATTTGATTTTGTGTTAGATTAAGTCCTTTTGAGTCATGATGTGACGTCGAAATATGGTATGGTAACCTTTAAAGACAACTCATGTAAGTTTAAGCTTACCACATTATATTTCGACTTCAAATCATGTTTTGGGGGTTCTTTTGAGTCTTTATTTTTAATCATTGAAGCAAATGTTAGAATTTTAACCATTCAAGCAAAAGTGGATAAAAAAACTATCAGGAACAATAAGTCAGTTACCAGGGTTGGGTGGGGATAAGGAGCAGGGGTGGAGCCATACTTGGCCCAGGGGGGCAGCTGGGAGGGAGGGAGGGAGGGACTTGGGGCCTTAGGGCAGCCCCTGTATGTTTTTTTGTATTCTGGGCGCATTCCCCTTTTGAACGCTTTTTTTGAATCTTCGTACTTATCAAAAATATATATATAATGGGTAAAACTACAATTTCACAAGCAAAAATAAGGATTATTAATGTCTTTTTATCAAAATGAAGGACATAGTATTCTATAAAATTACTCTTCATTTGTTCTACTTAAAAATGTTCCTCCACTTAGTTCTTCCACAAAGATCCGAACTAGCTTTGGCGGGTACTTGAACCTCTATGAATGAGTTTTCTTATACCCAAATTAGTGTAATTTTCACTAGGTTCCTTCAAAGGAAGAAGAGAGATAGAAAGGAGAAGGACCGAATGGAGAAAGAGAGTGAGAAAGGAAAAGTAGAATGTCTAGAGGGAAAAAAGATCTTTTGCTAGGAGTGATGAGCATGTGTATTCCCATCCCTGAAGTACTTAATTTGAAATCTGCCAAACCATTGGTAAGGAGGGTTTTTTACTACATTTTGAATGCAAATAGGCAATTTAGCATATGGAAACATCCTGAATATGCATATGCTTCTCATATGGTGGTGAAAACATTGTAATCTGTCATGAATGATGAATTATCTGAAATTTGTGAGTCAAGTGCTGTCGCATATGAATTAGATCCTTCAAGCTATTTATTTATTTTTTCATGGAAGTTAAAAGCGAACTCACGCACCCATTATCCACAACATGCCCCTAATGTGGCTCAAACTCGCAACCTCCCCTTTGGGGAGGAGATATTTATGTGTGTAAACTCCCACATTCTTCATAAGTCATGACAACCCCCAAAATTCAAGACACTGAAGAAGCCGTGAATATTTATGTGTGTGTGAGCAAATCTGTATATGTTGTCCTTTTTGTGAATTTTCAGCCCAATTAGTATCTTCTGATATGTTGCTCATGTATTCCTTGCTTTATTGAAATTTTGTATAAACTTCTTGTGGTCAAATATGTCGTGATGTTACTTTGGGGCAAGTGTAGGTTACAAAAATTGATAGAAGTGTAAGGGGGTTGCATTTACAATTTATGGGACAGATAGAAATATGGAACTATGTAGAAGAAGGGGGCTGCTGTAGGAATTATTTTAGAAAGTTAAATGCCTTTTTTTACATACACTAACCCTATAAGAATGTATGCTGGAAATTTGAAGACATATTTGATATAGATCATTTTATTGACTACTTGAAGGATGTTGTGGAAATTTTTCATGATATCCCTTAGTGGTTTACTGATAAATGAGAGCTGTTCAGAAGTATAAGGTTTGACGGCTTTGTTTTCCCCTTTAGATATGAATCCACACCGAAGAGGCCAGTCCTGAATTATGCCTTTACATTCCACAACTGAGTACTGATCTGCAAATGTTAAAAAATAGAAAATGGCAACTTCTTGTTGTCTAGGTTCAATTGTGAACCGAATTAACTAAAGGATTTGGTTGCTACTTTGACAGTGAAAATTATAGTATGAAAATAGAAAAAAGAAGTGGATGGGGGTTATGCTACAGACATACTTGAGTAATGGGGGTTAGGCTTATTATTATATATAAATGTTTGTGAAAGATTATGGATGATGTCATTTAAGTGCACACGAACAGAGATTGATAGGCTCCTGTCTTAGAGTTTTGATGATCCCAAGCTGTCTCTTCTTTAAACTATATGTTTTACTACTTTATAAAGTCCTTCATGGAACTTGTAGAACCTGTGGCAAAATTGTTACTAGTTGGTCTTTCTTCTAGAAAAAGTAAATTTGATTTGTTATCGAGAGTGTTTTCTTCAGGTATGAAATTTTTTCCTCCAGAAATCAACAGGCTAAGGTGCAAAGTGAACTATCACGCCCTGAAATATCTTCCTGAAATTGAGCTGATGGCTGATCTGCTGGCCTCAAGAATGAGAAACCGCACAGGCATTTCAAATCCATACATCTAAGTGATCCTGAGCAGCCATCAGTGCCTTCTCCACCTTTGTTCCCACAAAATCACAGAATGATAAGTCTACTATCCCTTTCTCAAACCTAAGATGAAGAACCCCCGTTTAAGCAGAAATTTTCTAGTCTTGCTGTGACCATGATAACAAAAAATAAGCACCGGCTTACATAGTTTTCCTCTGTGGTGTTTGGCCCTCAGGATAGTTCCCACTTGCTCTGCAGAAGCGGAAGGATGCACGGTGCCCTCTTGATCCTGGGGAAGAAGCAGTGATGCTTCTGGGCAGGTTTATGGTGGACAGAACCACATGGCACCTCTCGGGAACTTGTTCCCAAATCTTGTAGACTACTGGCTTAATTTCTTCTCAAATTCCTTTTGCCAACTGAAGTATAAGGAGGTTTGGCTGTTGGCGTCAAATTTAAGTATGCTTCTAGGATCTTGTCAAATAAAATCGTGTTACTCTTTTTCAAAATTTCAGCTTAGATGACTTGATGATTTTTAAATGCTTTGCATTTTAATCTTACCTTGTCTAGAATGTCCGGTCCAGCTGTTACTGTAAAGTAATTCAGTTTTGTTCAATCAAGTTACTATTCGATGGAATTGCATGTTCTGAAAAAACTTCAATAGAACTCTTATGACAGTCATACTGACCACTCAAGCATATGTTGTCGCATACAAAGCATATGCAAAAAAATGCAAAAATGATATGTCTGGTCTCTGAGTTGTAAGTGCATCTTTCCACAGCGAGGGGAATTGTCTAATTTGATAGACTATTCTGGTTTGTTGCAGATCCAGTTTCTTTGTCCTACACCCTTTCAGTTTTTAATTTATTTTATTATTATTTTTATAATTATTATTTTTTGAAATTGGCAAGCTTATTCTTCTTGTCATTATACATTAACATTCTCAGTTTCATTCTTGACACAGGCAAAGTTTTAAATAAATTTATACCTGCAATTTTGAGAAATGAGATTACTAGCTTATGAATTGTTTAGTTTTTATACCCTTGTATGTATTCTCATCACTACAATATTGATATTTTTTTTGTTTCTCTCTCTCTCTCTCTACCGGTCTTGAAACCTTGACCTAGAGTTTGGGAGTTTAGACCCAAATCCACTTGGGCAAAGGTAAACCAGTAATATTGGTACTTATTTCTTTCAATTAATTGCAGAATGCCCCATACTTGTGCATAAAAGATGGTATCATTCTTCACTGCCCACAAGTAAGTTTTAAAGACGATTATGTTGCTTATTGTAATCTCTTTGATCTTTCCTTTTGTGCAACTTATTCCGTGTTTCATCTGTAATATTATTAGGTCGAGGAGCATAACTCATTCTGGGAGAATCCTTATTCGGTCACCACTTCATGGAAACCTTGTGCTGAGGGACAAATTGGCGCAATTTTAGGTAGCACTGGGCTGATGATGAATAATTTGAGTGTGTTATTTGGCGAATCCTCGCGTATGAAAATCTGTAGAGAAGTCAAAGAAATCTAAACATTGATGTTAAGCAAATTTTCCACACCTTTTGTTGTAGTATACTTTTTTACTCGTATAAATGAGCTATTAATATCACTGTGCAAAACAGTTCTGTGTCAGATTTTTTCCATTACACTTAGATTCATGTACTGACACGCTGTTTTTATACGTTGTGTTTTTGGGGTGAATGGATAGATCTTATGTGTTTATACTTCTGTTTTGTAATGTCCTATAAAATTCAACTCAATATTTTCATCACCTTCCTCTCTTCAATTATAAAATAAAAAGGTTGGTTTTCTTCTTCTCAATATGCAATATGCCTCCAAGAGGTTTTTGATTGGGACCTGAAGGTAAAGGTTTTATTTCCTCACAGTTGATAATATATATAAATATAAATATATATATATATATATATATTTCTATCGTTTGGAATACTAAAATATTGGCAAAAGGTTATAAATTTATATAGTTCTATGAACTAACAAATCTGTGCCATGAGTTGTGCTGTGAACTTGCATGGATTTTAAGAAGCTTTGATGAAGACGTAAATTTTAACATGGGCTTGTTCTCTACACATGTTAGATTATTGTTTGAAATGACGTATTTCAATTTCAGCTATTATATTAACTGTCTCATGGTTTTGTACATGTATATATTTTTGAAGGAGTCAGACATCTGTAACTGTAGGCTGCATATGTCTGTAAAGATTCATCTGTCAATCAACCTATCTTATTCTGATAACTGTAGAATATTAGGTTGATATTTATCTTTAAGTTATTGCTTCCTTACAGCCCAGTAATTTTTATTGACTCTTTGCAGATCTTCCACCTGAGAATGAAACGAATAGACATATATTTATACACGCTGAGGGTGGTCTGAACCAGCAAAGAATTGATGTATGTTTCTGTTCTTTTAAGTTGTACTGAATTAAAGATCCCTTTGATTTTCTTGTTTTGATAGTATACCTAGATCCAATTGTTTGTTTAGAATGGATAGTTGGCTTTTTTAGAAAATGCAGAAAAAAGAAATAAAAATCACAGTTGGGAATGAAACTCTGTTCCCCATCCCCTTTCTGTAGTCAGTGACTTTTTTTCGAAATAGTTGATATTTTTACCTCCACGTGGCATTGCTCCGTCAGGCTTTTGCTCATTGCGGAAAATTCCCCACTGATGCCTCTCGTAGGGTCTGGGACTTAAACTTGGAGAATACATTGAAAATGTTGTTATATTGTTACAATCTTTAAAAACAATGTTGATGGTCAAGCTATTCAATCATTCCTAAACATTTTCAAGCCTCAACAATGAATACTATCCACTCCTAGAGTTCTTTGTGTTAATTTTTATTCATGTCCTTTTTTAACCAGACACCTTGATGCTGCTAAAAGTTTTATTTTCCCTGTTCAACCTAAGTTACCATTTTCTTCTAAACCTAAGCTTTCTACATGATTTTTGTTCAACAATTTTTAAAGTAATTTTTTCATTTCTTTTTTTCCGGGGTAAGTTATGCTAACCTCCCTTGAGGTTTATCCAAATAAGTGAAAATTTTGTGAAAATAACTCCGATGCTCCTTGGCTGAGTTTGTCAGAAAACAGTGTTAAATTGCCACATGATTGACAATTTTACCCACATCAACCGAATCACATTAGATGAAATCCAATCTGTGCCTCTATCCCTCCACCACTATCACCACCACCTCTCTCTCTCTGTCTCTAAACTCTTTTCAAGCAACAAACCCTCTTGCACTAGTCCACCATCTAACACCTTCACTTGTATCAGTTTTGAAATGCTAGTCAACAGTTAGATTTCTGAGTCTAAAGTGCTCCATCTGCAAATTTTTGTGACAGATAATTGACACCGCATTGTGGGGGGCATGGTATTGTTCTTGAAGACATCTTTCTCTAGAAGACAATGTATGTTGTGCAAAAGACAGCGCCATTGTCTTTGCTGAGCAACATCTCAACGACATAGCGTACTTGTGAGCATTGCACTCGCAGGAGTGTTGACATGGGTTTTCTATATAGTTTGATCTCCATATTTTTTTTTTTTTTTCTGGGGTATATGTAGAAGCGTATATGTATATATGGGTTGAGACGTTGAGTACATACATGTACATGTATAGTATGACACAATGATCTTGCTAATGGCATAAACCAAATTTGCAGGAACCTTAACTTTAAACTCCTTTTTATCTCCTCTGTTAAAAGACCTAATTTTGCACATTAAATTTATAAAAAATATGCAGCCTCGATTAGTCTTTAGTTATAATCATATCGCACTTGATCAACTACTCTTATCAATCAAGTTTGTATTGGATTTCAGGGTAATTTTGTCTTTTTATATTTTGATTTTAAGGGTAAAACTACAATTTTACAAGCAAAAATAGGAATTATTAATGTCTTTTTCTCAAAATGTATGACACAGTATTTTGTAAAAATATTCTTCATTTATTCAACTTAAAAATGCTCCTCCACTTAGTTCTTCCCCAAAGATCTGAACTAGCTTTGTCGGGTACTTGAACCTCTATGAATGAGTTTTCTTATTCCCAAATTAGTGTAATCTTCACTAGGTTCCTTCAAAGTAAGAAGAATGATAGAAAGGAGAAGGAACGAATGGAGGGAGAGAGTAAGAAAGGAGAAGAAGAATGTCATTCCAATCCCTGAAGTAGTTAATTGAATTCTGCCAAACCATCAGTAAGTTGGGTTTATTACTACATTTTGAATGCAAATAGGTAATGTAGCATATGGAGACATACTCATATGGTGGTGAAAACATAGTAATCCTTCATGTAACTTGTAGAACCTGTGGCAATACTAGTTGGTCTTTCTTTTAGAAAAAGTAAATTTGATTTGTCATCGAGAGTGTTTTCTTCAGGTATGATAATGTTTTCCTCCAAAAATAAACAGGCTAAGGTGCAAAGTGTATCACGCCCTAAAATTTCTTCCTGAATTTGAGCTGATGGCTGATCTACTGGCCTCAAGAATGAGAAACGGCACAGGTAATTTCAAATCCATAAGTGCAAGTGATCTGGGTATGCTATTTTGTGAGATTTAGCTCAACTCTCATCTTTGATTTGTTATCATGGTCACAACGAGAGTTGGATTTTTCTTCTTAAACGGGGCTCTCTATCTTAGGTTTTTGAGAAAGGGATGGTAGGCTTATCATTCTGTGATTTTGGGGAACAGGGGAGGGGAAGGCACTGATGGCTGCATACAGATTGAAAGAATGGCCTCGACGGACGAAGGTGACCTAGAGTTCAATTGGCTTTTCTGGTATTAGAACAAAAAATAAGTACGGGCTAATGGTTTTCCTCTGCGGTGTTTGGCCCTCAGGATAGTTCCATTTGTGGCCACTGGTTCTGCAGAAGCGGAAGGATGTACAGTGCCCTCTTGAGCTTGGGTGATGCTTTAGGCAATGTGAGTTAGCCTAAGGAAACTCAAATTTATGTTGCTTCTGGGCAGGTTTAAAATCCGTTACTCTTTTTCGAAATTTCAGCTCAGATGACTTGGTGATTTTTAAATACTATGCAATTTAATCTTACATTTTGTATTAATCAGTTAGCATTTGATGGAATTGTATGTTCTGGAAAAACTTCAATACAACTCTTTTGACAGTGACAGTCATACTGACCACTCAAGCACATGCTGTCACATACAAAAGCATATGATAAAAAAATGCAAAAATGTGCACTTGGTATTATTAAACTCCATGCGCTTGTATTGATATTTGCAAACAATAAAAAAGGAAAATCGAACTTGCTTTCTTTCTTCGCCAAAACTCTTGATTTTCTCTCCTCTCATATGGGACAGACTTTTTAAATGCAACCATAGTTCATAATCGCAGTATAACGGATTCAGGAAAATATCAGATTCGGAAAAATATTAGTATAAATCGGTCGAACGACCCGTTTATGGAAGTGTGTAGTAGAAGACCTTTAAAAAGTATAAACCGGTCGATATGTGGTGGATACAGCAATTGAGTTATATTTTTATTTACTTTTATTAATTTGTAAATTTTGTCAGAAGACTTTTCGACAAATCATAAAATTCCAACATAATTTGTCCTTGACAATTGCATTCTAGATAGAGCATTGCGGTTAACATTATACTGCCACAATACAACCCTGTTTTTTTTTTTTTTTTTTTTGCTACTCTATTACTAAACACGTTAAAAGGTATAAATACAAACACGAACAAATAAATTTAATTTTGAGAACACATAAGAACATAGAAAAAAACAGATGCTTCTATTATTTGAAAAGAAAAAGGTAATTTAAACATAGAAGGTACTCCCTCGTCCGTTCCATAGTATTTGTCCACCACGAAGGGGAGTTATCTATTAAGTCTTCCTATTTTAATTACAAAAGTAGAGAGAATAATTTGAATGAGTAGCTGCCAACAAAGTAATTCAATACAATAAAGAAGAGGTGTTTGATTTAACCTCAGTGATTGACAATGCCTTTTTTACGGCTTGAAAGCAGAGGTCACAGCAACTGTGCTGTGTCTTGGATTTTTGCTCCCGTCGCGGTCGCCCTCGCCCTCGCCGTCTGTTTTGTAAATGAATGGGGTCGGCTAAAAAGAATTTTCGCTCCCCTGTTCAATAGAAAATGACTTGTCCCAACTTTTTTCCTTCTTAGAATGACAAACTGTCAAATAATAATTCAAATGGTCACACATACACGGACTGAAGAAACCAAACCCAAGGAAGATTAAGCATAAATGTCTCAAAATAGAAGTGATAGATTAAAATTGAATATAAAGCAAAACAATTGAATAGTCAGGAAAACTTAACAACCAAAGCAATATAAAATATAGAGAACTCATGACACTAAATTAAACTACTAAATATATAGAAGATTCAAAACAAGCAAACAACCCAACCATTCTTACCACTAAATCCAGACCAGTTTGTTTGTTTTGTGGCAGTCGCGGACAACAATGAATCCGGTGTCCATGTGTGTTGTATGTCCTGAAAAATTGGAATTGTATGTTCTGAAACTTCAATACATTTGTCCACTCAAGCACATGCTATCAAGAAGTATCGTTATCAAACTTGCTTTTCTTATCTTAGTATGCTAATTAAACATAACTAGTATTGAAGCAAAGAACAAAACCATCATACCATTGTACCAAACTATGGCTCAAGAACTCATTTATGCAACAAGAATATTAATAAGAACAAGTTTATTCCTTTACAAAATTCCAATCAGATTCGTGTGGTTTTATATTACTAGTACTTGTTATTAGTGTTCAACAATTTAAAGGAATAATTCAGGGAGTTCTGCACCAACATTCATCCCAATCAATTCATCACCCTTAAGCACTCTTTCATTAAGAACCCGAGCAATTATCAAGAAGGAAGCCAATCATGGGCTTTATTGGGCCACCAAATCAACAGAAATAGAATTGAGGTCTGAAAAATATACATACACACGTGGAAATATAAACACAAAACTACACAGATAAATGTAGAGAGAGGTTGGCAATTGTTGCCCGGAAATCTCTCCGACTAAAAAGCACCTCTCTCTCAAAACCCTAAAAATGCGGCGCAATCTCCTTCTCCGAGTCCTCCTCCAACCTTGCTGAGGCAAATTCCTCTAATGTCCATCACCATTCCTCCTCACAGTCACCACGATTCCCCCTCCTCCTCTCAAGCCTTCACCCCTTGCCGTGGCAAAACCCCACTATCCCCATCGCCATTCCTCAATCCCAGTCACCATTCCGCCCCAATCATCACCATTCCGCCCTCCTCCTCTATCGCCTTCACCCATTGCCGAGGCAAAACCCTACTGTCCCCATCGCCATTCCTCAATCCCAGTCATCATTCCGCCCCAGTCATCACCATTCCGCACTCCTCCTCTCTCCCCATCAACCATTCACCCTTACTTGGAGTACAAAAGTTTTCTCATGCTAGTTAGGGCATTGTCAACTGACCAAATAAATCTGGAGAAGGACGATCCTCAGAAAGAGCCATACAAGGAGTCCAATGCAAACAGTGGGGGTTCTCAATCGAACAACAATGATTATTCCCAGTCTGGTCCATGGCTCAGGGAACGAGATCTTCCTAAGGCGAATTTGTATGTCTCTTTCATGACCTTATTCGAGATCTTCCAAGGGCAAAGTTGTACGTCTCTTTCATGACCTTATTTGCCGCTCTTGGTTGATGAAGAAATTTTCACCCTCTACAAAAAGGATGTGGAGTGCAGACAACAATTCAACGAAGTCTTTCTCAAAATAATCTTATGGAATATAATCAAGGTTGGAAAAGCTGACGTTGTTAATTGGACATTGATGGCTTCCTTGAATGGGAATGGAGAAGATAAGCCTTCGGAGAAGTAGTACTTACAAAAGATATCCACAATTATTCATACTAGTATACCGTCATATCCATCCCTGTTCAGTGCTCTGCAGCCTTCCTATGCATCCCTCTGAAACAAAACATAACAATTAGTCAAGACCTGAAATATAAGAAGCACTGCAATTTTCAAGGAGAAGTAAAATTGTGAGAAGTAAAACACTGGTCGCAACCTTATTCTGACATCAAAATACTACTTCTCCGAATACAAATATATGGTGTATTTATGTATATGTGTGTGTGTGTACTTACGTATATGTATAGACATATATATGAATTTATGCTTAATTAGTAAGATCATGTATTTCTGCAAAAAGATGTATATATATACACGTTTATGTATACTTACACATGTACATGTATTTTTGCACATGAAATACTGCTTATAGCTCATATGTGCATGTATATACACATTCCAATATCAGTATGTAAATTAATATATATGTATACGTATGTAATTGTGTACATGTATATGAATTTATACGTACATACATGCACACATTTTTTACCTAATTTACAAACTTCATATAATCTTTTTGTCACAAAATTTCTTTTACAAATATGCAAACACAATTATTCAATCAGAATTTCAATAATTATTAGGAAATTTTTTTATCCTTTTTAATTCTAGTATCATTGGCATTATTTGATCAATGCAATAGGATTTAGTAAGTTGGATTAAAATGTTAATAATGATAACTAATTTGTTCTCTCTCTTGGCCCTCCTTTTGTTTTCTCCTTTTTCTCCCTTTTAGTCTGTACTTCCCTCTTCTTCTCTATCCTTTACTTTCTTCTTCTAGTCTCTCATCTCTCTTGATTCTTCTCTACTCTGCTTCTCTTCTGTTAACTGACCACTTCTCTACTCTTCTAATGCATGTCTAGACACGCCTTTAACAACTATGTTTACGACAATGTTTTTAGGTTAGAATGTTAGACATGATTTTCTTTCTTTGAAATGGATTCAACCTTAAGGTTGTTTTCTTTAAAAAAAAAATTATAACATAACCTAACCAATCCGATCTTAACCCAACCTAAATGCAATGAAAATAAGCACACTTCGAATTAGAGGCCAGTTTGGGGTGGGACATTGGTGGACAATTCTATGCCTCAAGTTGAGCTCTTGACCCCTAACGCTGTCCTACTTTGGTGCAATCCACAGTTGCGCCGCCACCATAACTACAATATCATCCATTGCTTGTCAACTACAGTAGCACCACCAAAATCGTCCTCTGTGTTTCTACTCTCTCCATCTCTCACGTTGAAATTGACCCAACAACCACTCACCACCGCCACCATCTTTCATCTTCTTTATCCTCTTCTCTCCTATCCCTTCTAGCATTGTTTTTAACTCACTCCCTCCCTTTTTCTCCATATCATATGTAAAACTTAACTTTTTTTTTCTTACTAAAGCAAATCATGAAATTCACACGTCAACCAAATAATCAAAATCAAGCAAAGCATAGGCCCTATCTTTGAAGGTAATGCAACTAATTGAATAATACTAGATCAAGCAGGTAAGAAAACAAAGAAAGGGAATCACAGCAGCATTGCATGATAAATCATAACTAGCACACAAATAAATATATATTCATAAATCTATATATATATTATACTTGCCTTCATTATATTCAATAAGATTATTTTGAAAAAGATTTCGTTGCCTGCACCCCACATCCTTATCCTTTTTGTAGAGGATGAAAATTTTCTTCATCAACCTTGGGGGTCTTCTCACCAGCACCAAAAAAATGTGAGCCAACCGACAACAGTGCCGAGGGCGGCCAATAAGGTCATGAAAGAGACGTACAAAATCGCCCCACGAATATCTCGCTCCCCGGGTCCATGGCCCAGACTGGGAATAATGTTCGATTGAGAACCCCCACTGTCTGCATTGGACTCCTTGTATGGCTCCTTCTGAGGATCGTCCTTCCCCATATTCAGATCAGTTTACAATACCCCGAGTTAGGGCATGAGAAAACTTTAGTACTCCAAGTAAGTGTGGGTGGGTGATGGGGAGAGAGGACGAAGGGCGGAATGGTGATGACTGTGGCAGAATGATGACTGGGATTGAGGAATGGTGATGGGACAGGGGGGTTTTGCCTCGGCAAGGGGTGGAGGCGAGAGATGAGGAGGGGGAATCGTGATGACTGTGAGGGGGAATCGTGATGACTGTGAGGAGGAATGGTGATGAACAGCAGAGGAGCAGAGGAATTTGCCTCATCAAGGCCGGAGGAGGACAGCATTGGTAAAGCGTAGCTGCTGGGGAGAAGGAGATTGCGCCGCAGTTTTAGGGTTAGGGTTTTGAGAGAGAGAGAGAGGTGCTCTTTAGTTGGGGAGATGGTTGGTTTAAGGTTTTGTGTATATAGTCCAAGTCTAAGGCCGAATTTTGGATGGAAATAGATGAGAGGCTTAATGTATTATTTCTGATGCCAATTTTACTCTTACAAAAAATCAAAATTACACCTGATTTTAGTTTGCAAAATAAGAATTACAGACCTTGATTAGTTGATTTAGAAAAAAAATTAAAACAAAACTTATACATACAAGTTAGCAGTTACAGAGAAAGAGGCGGGCAAGCTTGAGAGTTGAGTGACGGCTGCTGAAGCTTGCGAACGGCGAACCCGAACTGGGTTTTGATATAGGTATGGGCTTTGATTTTTTTGAAAAATCTGAAATGATATGCCGATATGGGTTTTGATATAGGTAATAGGTTTTGAACTTTTGATTCTTGCAGACAGATAGATAAACTGAAATATATGGGTTTTGAACTTCTGATTCTTATAGATTTTGTAGTTTGCAGTTGCAGAGAGAGAGATAGAGCAAGTTCAGAGTTGACAACGAGAATAGAGATGGAGGTGATTGGGAGGCTGAAATGATTTGCCCTAAAAAACTTGAGAGGGCCTATAAATTTTGAAATGGAGGCGATCGGAGAGGTTGAAATAATTGTTTTTTGTTTTTTTTCCGGAAGGCAAGTAAGATTGAATTAATGAATGTAACTTTACAAGCCATTCCAAAAGAATAGGGCTGGCCCACGAATGATGGACCAAGCCCAACAAAAAACTAACAGTGAAATTAGAGCACTGGGCCAAGCCCAACAGATGCAAAGACAATATCTATTTTAGGGCATATCGAAGACCATCCAGATAACAATCATTCCGGTGTAAACGCAGGGCTGAAATAATTGTTTCGGCATTCTAATTTCTCATTGAAATAATTGTTTCATATTTTTGATGCATTTGTCACTTATTTCGGCAGTCTAATTTATCATTGAAATAATTGTTTCATATTTTTGATGCATTTATTACATAAATATTATGTAGTTCTTTAATCCATTTTTTTTGTTCATATTTTATTGGTAACTTTTAATTTAACTTATTTGTATTAAAATAGTAATATTTCTTTTGCCTATCTAACATACATTTGTTTTATCTATCTAACATATAAGTTAAAGGTATAACATGAATTCAAAAGAACAATAATGAATTAATAGGCCACTGGCCTAGCGGTATAAGTCTCCTACCTCTCAATGGGAGGTCAGGGTTTGAACTTCAGTAGAAACAATGTCTTTGAGTTCTAACTAGGAAAAAAAAAAAAAATGATTTTATTAAATTATTATTTATTTTTATATTACATAGTTAAATCTATAAATTTATCTTTTAAGATATAAAAGGGTATAATAATAAATTTATTAAAACAGTTTCATTTCCTTTTTTTTTCCAATCATGATTATTATCATCTTCTTTCTTTTCCTTCATTAATTAACCAAACACGATAGGGGGTTAAAATTATCCTTATGTTCCGTTCCTTTTCCTTTCTTTCATAACTAATGTTCCTTTCTTTTATTTTCTATCGTACCAAACATAGCCTTAATGTTTGGTTTAAAATTTTGGAAGGAAATGAAGGGATACTTTGATAAGTAGAAACTGTTAAATGGAAGAAAATGAGAAGAAAATCTATTGAAAAATGTATTGTGTAAATTCATATAAAAATTGTTTCCTTTCTTCATTTTTTTTCAAAATATAATATATATATTTTCTTAGTTAATGACAAGTGATATAACCCAACAGTGGGTATAAATAAAATTAAAAAATTTATTATATTTCTAGTATGAGAGGAGAGGGTAATTGTTGTGAGCTTTTTATTTTACAGCAAGTAATTGTTAAGTTTCTAAAGTTTACCAACTTATTTTAGCATGACCTTGATTATCAAGTTCTAAGTTGCCTTAAATACATTATTTCAGTATTTATCAAGAAACCTTTTTCTAGAATCTTAATAATGAAGTATTGTTATGAGTAAAATCATGTCTAGGATACTTATCCTCCATGATGGAAAAAAATTAGATGAAAGGGAGAAAAGGACAGAAGAATGAGAAATCTTTATACTCTATTCGGTAGAAAAGAAAAAAAATTGGATGGAAAGAAGAGAAGAATGGATGGATGAGATATCCGAAGAAATTGTGTATTTCTTTCTTTTTGTTCGGTTGAATAAAAAAGAAAATAATAAGCTCATAATTTACTATATTCGTTAAGAGAGAAGGAAATAGAAAGTTCTAATTGTTTTTACCATTATATCCAATAATATTTATAATATTGTAAAATATAAAGGATAGTACTGTAATTTAAAACTAGCATAATTTAGGATAGTTTTTAATTTAAAACTTCTATAATAGTCCACTTGTTTTTCTTCATTTCTTCCGTCCATTTATTGGAGGATAAAAATTTGTAAAGGCGGAAGGATGACCCATCCTTCTTATTTTCCTTTCTTTTGTTATATCATCTCTACTAAACAGAGAAAATCTGTTACTTCCTTTCTATTTTCTCTCCACGCCTCTTCTTTCCTTCCTACCGAACACAGCATTAGAAAAGATAATGTACTGATGGAAGAGAAACGAAATGGAGGGAGGTACTGGCTTTTTTTATGTTTGGTTTAAAATTTTGGAAGGAAAAGAAAGGAAATGGAGGGATACTTTGATAAATTGTATGGAAGAAAATGAGAGGAAAGGCTATTTCATTTTGAATGAAACTTTGTTGATGCTATTTTTTTTTTTTTTTTAATAAAAGACAGAATTCTATAGAAAAATGTATTGTGTAAATTGGTATAAAGATTGTTTCATTTCCAAGTTGTTAAGCTAATGGATTATCGTATTTGGATCATTAACGGGTTATCAGATTGAATGTCCCAATCTATATCCTACTTAGTTCGGATTCGGATTTGGATTCGGATTTTTTTTTTTTTTTTACATAGATTAAAGTGACATGTATAGCTATAAGGTTAGATGGAGTGGAGAATTGTTAATATATATGAGGGTGCATAATATAACTATGCAACTAAATGAATATAATGATTTAATATATATAAATTTAATGTTAATAGATAACTAATATATATATAACATTCATACACAGTACAGTGTAATGTAATAATATATATATATATATATATATATATATATATATATGTATAATTTTAATAGGATCGGAATATTATCGGGTCGGATTTTTTTTCCCATTCATATCCTGATAATCGGATCAGATTCGGATAGGGATTTGATCCATTGAAAGGTTTACTTGAAGTTGAAGGTCGCCTTTCTTTTTTTTCTTTTTTTTATTGGTAAGAAATACACTTACACACTTTTTTTTGCTCACACCAGGGCTCAAATCCCTCTCATCTTCTTTAGGATGGGGAGGTTATACTATTGGACATGAAGGTCACCTTTGGTGGGTAAATTTTGTTTTCCCTGTGGTAAAAACACAGTCACACACCCACTTTTGCCCCTCAACCTTCTACTTTAGAAGGCATTAAAGTATTACTAGGCTACAACGTCCTTAGTGTAATTATTACTAGGACGCACCGAATACACCTCTACAATATTACTCGCGTGGAATCGCTCGTGGTCTTCTGCTACAAGACATATGTCCATCTCGATATCAAAAGTATGAGGGTCTCGAAAGTCCATGTCTTTTGTTTGGGAACCTGAAAGGACCTTTAGTTTAGAGGATAAGAAGTTAGAACTCACCTAGCCTAGTAGGCCTAGCCAATAAGATGATGAAACCACATGCCTCAACTGCAACACTTATTATCACATTTAGTGTTCTCAACGATCACCGCTTTTGAGGGGATGTGTATTTAATTCAACAGAGCACCTCCTTAAGGTGAATGACCATGATAGACCTACTATATCTAGTAAGGTCATGATAGCTAGCCTATCAAGGTGGGTCCGAGCTCTAAGAGCACCTCTCTAGAGCCAGGCTGATAAGTGCCAAAATATGCACATTTTGGCCCTTAATCTTACTATTGTTAGCACTTTAGTCATATCTTTATTCATTTATTAGTACTTATCTACTTTATTGTTATTTTCAAGTTACTATAACGAAAAAATGGGTCATTCCAGCACATTAAATCCCATTTGGAAGTCAACCAAACTGCAGCGAAGAAGGAATAGTTAAAGGGATAAGAAAAGTCAAAAGTTACTATTTGCGATTGATTGCAAGTATCTACGATCGATTGCATGTGATCCATCGTGGGATATTTGCGATCGATCGCATGACAAGTTGAAGATTTAAATGCAACCCGGTTTCCATTTAAGGAAAACCATGGTGCACGAGATTGCAAAAATTGGTGTACGGGGTATGACTTATTTTGACTCCTTATAGTAAACTATAAAGGGGAATTGAAGACTCTTTTTGGGATATAAAAGATTTTGGGTCAGCATTGAGGACTATCTCTCTCTACTTTCTCTCTCTTGGGTTTGCTCTCAAGGTTGAAGAAGAATGTGAAGCTGAGCATGGAGATGGCAATTGAAGCCATGAAGATGATATCCATCCTCTCTAAGACTGGCTAAATCTTCACTTTGGGTTGGATGAGCCCTAAGCTTGTGTAATTATTTCTATTGTCTTTTATTTTTCAGGATTTCTAAGTTGTATAAGTTATTTGGTCTTGTGGATTCATGTTTGGTTGTACCAAGCTTTGTATTGTTGAATTCTTCCAACTAATCTTTAAATTGACTATATGTTGTCTTATATGTGATTGATGGTTTATTGATCTCTATATTGAATACATTTTGTAATTTTATTCAATGATGGCCATACATGATTTACATTGGATACAATTGTTCCTAATTTGTTGAGTTATGCTTAGTCTTGATAGATTGTGCTACACCATTAGAATAATTGTAATTAGGTAGACAATTCATGCTTGAGTTTGATAGTTCATGCTTACTCATTGCAATTGTAGTATTTGCTTGCTTATTAATGTGTGCTTGTAGCCACATCCTCATTGTAACTTGTTTTTCTCATTAATTGAAGGCATTTGGTGCAATTACTTGGGCTTAGTGGTGAAGTCCATGCCCTGAGGACATGTTTGGTGCGTAGGAAAGGAATGCAAGTGGGAATGAAATGGGAATGATGTATGAATGGAATGATGATCCTCATTCCATTATTTGGTTACAAATAGAGAATGATACAGTATTGGAATGACCATTCTCATTCCCCTGTTTGGTTAGATCAATTAATAAGCTAGAATGAAATAATTTTTAAATTAGTTTATCCAAAATACCCTTACTTATAATATATCAATTATATTAACGAAATGACTAAAATGGAATAAAATATAACTAGCTTATACCAACTAATGCATTTTTATAAAATCTATGAAAAATATAATTATCTTAGGAAATGTACGAAAATCTTGAGTTCAAGAAAGTCTACTAAAAAATTAAGAAAAGACTAACAATTTGTTGTGAACCTGAGACCTCACAAATAATTGCTATTATTTATTGTGAACCAATCGTATTAGCCCAAAAAAATAATTACTTTTTTTTTTTTATGAGTAATGAAGTTTGTAGCAATTTTGAAAGGCTTTGAAAGAGCAATTACCAATTTTTTTTTTTTTATTTTTTTTTTTGTAAAGAAATAGTTTGGGCAATGATGAAACACAATACTAAACTTCTTGTAGTCCAAACTTAAGTAGTATTCTATAAACACTA